AACACCCCTCAAAGAAGGGCGTGCGAGGAGTGCCACGAGCGGCACCTACAACGACTATGCTAGTCTCAGCTGCAATGAGGTGCTTCTCGAGCAGGTCGACAGTGAGGTCTGTGGGGTCAAGTGTGAGAAAGTGGTCCCTGACAACGCGAAGAGAGTCAGGGAGGCGGGTGACTATGAAGTAGAGAGTGATGTACATCGGAGGCGGGTTCCTGTCAAGGAACTCTGCTGGGAGGGCAGCGCGGTAGCGAGCGTCGCTAGTGCGGAGGTTGGTAACGAGGTCCTCGACTGTGGCAAAGGCGGACAGCTCGGAAAACAGGTAGGGCAGTATAAGGCGGCCTAGAGCAGCAGTGGCAGGGGAGGAGTACCAAGCGACTACAGCATCGTACAGTGCTTCAGCAATCTTGTGCTGGCCAAAGTGAGCTCGTTCGGCTAACGGCAGGTGGTTGCGAGCGGCTAAGCAAGCAGCACCGTCACGCGTAAGCCACTGTGAGTGAGTCGCACAGTCAGCTGTGGCGGGAGGGGCGAGAGAGGCTCCAGACGTGTGGTCAAACAACAAAACGTTGTCTCTAGAATCGCTCAGTAGGTACAGCTGTAAGTCGTCGAGCCACGTATCGAACTGGATCGGACGGCCCTCATGATCGAAGGTGAGTACACTGAGAGAATCCATAGCGGGCAGAGCAGGGTGGCGCGCTACCAGCAGAGCAGCACGCAGGCAGGGCGGCGCACAGCAGGGTGGGCAACAGCAGGGCGGGCAGTAGCCGGGCGGCGCAAGCCGCTGCAAGGGGGGGCGGCGCTAGGGCTGCAAAGGGGCGGCGAGCGGGCTGCTAGAGGGCAGCAAGCGGGCTACAAAGGGGCAGCAAGCGGGCTGCCAGCGGGCGGCGCGCGGGCTGCAAGGGGCGGCAAGGGGGCCGCAAGGGGTGGCGAGCGGGCTGCAAAGGGGCGGCGCGCAAGCTGCAAGGGGCGGCGAGCGGGCTGCAAGGGGCGGCGAGCAGGCTGCCAGAGGGCGGCTCGCGGGCTGCAAGGGGCGGCGAGCAGGCCGCAAGTGGGCGGCGAGCGGGCCGCAAGGGCGGCGAGCGGGCCACAAGCGGGCGGCGAGCGGGCTGCAGAGGCGGCAAGCGGGCCGCAGTCGATCAGCGAGCTGGCTGCAGGGGCGGCGAGCGGGCCGCAAGCAGGCGGCGAGCGGGCTGCAGAGGCGGCGAGCGGGCCGCAAGTGGGCGGCAAGCGGGCCGCACGCTGGCGGCGAGCGGGCTGCTAGCGGGCGTCGAGCGGGCCGCAATGGCGGTGAGCGGGCCGCAAGCTGGCGGCGAGCGGGCCGCAAGCGAGCGGCGAGCGGGCTGCAGGGGCAGCGAGTGGGCCGCAAGCGGGCGGCGAGCGGGCCATAAGGGCGGCGAGCGGGCCACAAGGGCGGCGAGCGGGCCGCAAACGGGCGGCGAGCTGGCTGCAAAGGTGGCGCGCGGGCCACAAGCGGGCGGCGAGCGGGCGGCAATGGCGGCGAGCGGGCCGGAAGGGCGACGAGCAGGCTGCAGGGGCGGCGCGCTGGTTGCAGGGGCGGCTCGCGGGCTGCGAAGGGCGGCGCGACGGGCTGCTAGGGGCGGCACAGTGGCCAGCAGGGCGGCGGGCCGTTAGGGCAGGGCTGCAGGGCAGCTAGTGGGGCAGCTCTGTGGTGGGCCCTAAAAAAATTCGGTCCTAGGGAAGGACATGCTCTGAAACCATGTTGAACTATAGAACGAGAAAAATGAAAGCATTAAACAGAAGTTGGGTACAAGTACTAATTCTAGTTGGGTTGTAGCCCTTATGGGCTACCCCACTATAACCTACGCAAAGTAAGTACTATAACAGTTTTGACAGTTAAATCATGCTCCATGGTCGATTTGGCCAGGGATGCACGACAGGCTGTGTGAAGGCGACGTGAGATGGTGCTATGAACAGAGAAGCCAGGTTCGTTTCGCCAAAAATGCTAAGGAGGCTGTTGGAAGCAAGCTCGAAGTTGAAGATGAGCTTAGTGTTCTATAGTGGTGCTCCAGAATGCATGGAATTTTGGTTGTGGGTCGGTGGGATCCCACCTAGGGTTTTGATGTGATACGAGGTGAAACATCCTGCGGTTGAAATTGTGCCAATCTATGGTGGTTTCCAGCATGCCAGCCTGGACAATGGTGGAATATACGGATTCGTGGGCATTAAGTTGAAACTAGTTTGTGATTGGACCACCTCATATTGTATTCTATGGGTGACGAAAACTTAATCCTAGTGCCATGAAGATGACCCACGTGGCCTGCTTGAATGGCCAAAAAGCCACATGGTGGAATCACCGACATGGATAAGAACTCCAATCACCTGGGATGGAATCCAACGAGTGCGGTTCGTGTCCCGAAGCGCGCCGCTGAAAGCCGCTATATTGCTCAGCAAGAGGGTGCATGGAGGAAGAATTGGAAGGAACCACGGTTCTGTTTTGGGCTGGGTCTGACACAACTGGCGGTAGAGAGCAGCAACGCACATGATGTGAGATGGCGTTCCTGGGATGGCGTTCCTGGGATGTCCTGGGAGAGCCAGGCAGAAGGTGAAGTCAAACCTGTGATCAAGGGAATTGTTGACCACATGGGAAACTCCTTGCAGGCTAGCGAGACTGGTCCTCCAGCTGGGTTTCGCCAGCTCGCACGAACATGCTCGCTGTAGGTCTTGGTTGCCCTGATTTGAGTGGAATCAGGGCTGACGTTTCAAATTTAGGTACCTTGAGTTCAACCTTAAAAAACAAAAATTACCCTGAAGGCACATTTTCCAGAAAAACAGCACCCTGATTGCTCAGGGTTGAGAAGTAGTGAACTCTGAATGTTCAGGGTCGAGAATTGAAAATCAGGGTCGTAGTAACGCGCTCTTTCTTTACCGAGGACAGAAGTCTCACTCAATCAGAAGTCTCATTCTTTACCCTAATCGCAACATCTGCTCGAAATCTGACAGTCTACGGGGAATTCAAGCAGAATCTGCCTTGACCTAGCGCAAAAGGGATTTCCGTACGGAGCAGAGGTCGAATCTGCTGTTGGTGTCGCAAGGGTGACTGTGACTGGCGCTGTGACTGGCGCGCTGTGACTTGCGATGTGACTGGCAATGTGACTTGCACTGTGGCGATGTGACTGGCACTGTGGCGATGTGAGTGGCACTGTGGCGATGTGACTGGCGCTGTGTTAGAGCACATCTATTTCGACCAATAACAGCAACCTAAAATCTGACATTACAGATTCGCCCAATCTAGATGGTGGGTGTATGGGAACGAAACTTCGAAGAAACTTCGTCTCGATAAAGCGAGGGGGGGGGGGGGGGAGGATTACGCACGTGGGGGGCACTGAAATCAATGCGAAGGGGTTATCAGGAGGAAATTTCCGAGAAACTTCGCCCCGATAACATCGCATTCAGGGTCCACAGGCCTCGTACTCTGTATTGACAGGGTCCGTGAAAACCCTACACTGAGAGTCTACACAAAATTTTAGGGTCCGCTAAAGCAATACTCTGAATGGATCAGGGACCAAAATGTGAAAAACCTGATTTCTCAGGGTCCAGAAAGTGACAAGTCTGAAATCACCCTGAAAACAGGGTAATTACCCTGATAAAATCAGCCCTGAGTGGAATGGCTTTCGCACAATTACCAGGTTGATTCAATGACAAAACAGATTTCCGTGGACAATTTTTTTTGGCCATAGATTTGCTGGGGCTGGCGGCATGGTTGGACAATTGTACTTTCAGCGCGTTTGAACACGGTTTGTTTTTTCCTAGCGGGTTTGCAGTTCGCTGTGGGGTGAAGCTTGGGGCACTTGCCCCGCCTCTCACCTGCTGATTCGCCTTGACTTTGTTTGTTCGTCTATAGCAGTGTACCGAAATCATCCAGGTACTGATTGATGACGCCTCAATCGCGTACAAATGCTTCCCTGATCACCCCTCCAACCGTACCAGAACCACCATGCGCAGTGTTCGTGCTTTCACATAGTTTCATTCCACGTGTGTCTCGCTCCCACCTATACTCAACCGCAGAGCCGTCGAGCCGCCAAGCCGCCGAGCTGCCGGAATCCATGTACGAGCTCGTCGGTGCGAGGTTATCTATATTTGGAGTCTAGAATAAAACATTCAGCGAGCAGTCATGCACGGATGCACGATGCTGCTCCGGCGCATTATTGGTATGTGCGGGAGTCGTACCGCGCCATGTCGCGTGGCCGCTGCGTTCCGTCATGCATGCGACCAACGACGCCACGATGTTGCTCCTCCAGCGACCCTCCGCATTCCGCGGCCGCCTCTGCACTGCGACGACGACACGTCGGTGCCAACACGACGACGTCGAACGCTGTTCATTCCGCTGCGGTGCGACGCATCCTAAACGACACCGCATGCACGCTCGCATAATCTTCAACGTGCGATTTTCAGCCGCAAGAAACAGCCAGTTTTCCGCCCGCGCGTCGCACCCCTCTCACCATGGATGACTGATGCCCCCTTTAGCCTGAATCCTAGAGTTGGAGGGATCGATAGTGCGCAGCACCAGGAAGTAAGAGCGTCGCGCGCTCCCATTCGACGCGCCCCGTGCATGCGACTCCCTCCGCACCTCGCACCTCCTCGCCCATTCCGTACGTAGAAGCACGGTATCAGCAGCGCCAGGTGGGTGGGTATATGAGCTGCTCCAGCCGAGCCAGGTTCACGTCAGCCGCTGCAGCGGAATCGGCCTTCGTCAGCTGCAATCCTCGCTGCCTTTCCCGTTTCCCATTTCCTTCCATTCCGTCGTTCGTCTCTGACCCTCCCTCCCTAAAGTCCCTGCAGTTTCCTCTCTCCATTGCATTCCTAGCGCATTCGCCTAGAAGCTTTTAGCAGCGCACAGCAGCGCCTGGCAATCACTGCTCCGCTGCTTCTCCACCACATCCGCTGCCCGCTCCTCCACCGCTCTTTCCCCAATCGCCTAAGTCCGCGCCAAGCTTGTCCGCGCCATCGTCCTCCCTTCTCTCTCCCCGTGCGTCTCCTTCCCCCCGATGGGATCCGACGGGTGTTTCCAGGCACGGTCAGGCAGCGAGGAGGGGTTGGGCCTGGGGGTGCTCAGTCCTGCTGCAGTGGGTATGGCGGCGTCTCTTCTCAAGCCGTGCAGTAGCAGCAGCTCCAAGGGGGATGTGGTTGCAGGGGTAGAGAGGATGGTTGTGAGTGAGAAGGGAAAGGGGGAGGTTGGTGCGAGGAGTGGCGAGGAAGATGTGGGAAGGGCCAAGTGGCCAGAGAACGGAGTTGCAGGGTTGGAGAAAGTAATCGCTGGGGTGGAGAACGGTGCTACAGCAGCAAAAAACGGTTTCGTTCATCCCCACGCGTGTACCAATCCCTCCAGTGCTGCAAGTGGATGCGCCTATAACGAGCCTAAGGTGCAGCCTTTGACTGCAGCACCCGGGTCCCACTGCGAGTGCGTCGTGCCGAGAATGATCCCCTTAAAGCCCGACAAGCCGGTGGCGTGTGTGCTGGGCATCGGTACGGCGAATCCGGACACGATTCGGCCGCAGGGGCAGTTTGCCAAGGAGTACCTCTCGCGGGTGGGGTGCCACCATGCTGAGACCCAGGCCAAGTTCGAACGCATCTGTGAGTCCGTCGGACGATGGCACATGATTCTGGTTCGGAGTGAAATGGAGGGGTGGGTGGTTGCAATAGAATGGTCATACAAGATTTGCATGTTGCATAGCAAGCCCGCTGTCTCTCTGAGTGTCCTTTCCGCTCTCTGCCTGCCCTTTGCTCTCTGCTCTCTCTGCCTCCTTCTCCCCCCTCTCCCCCTCTTTTTCCCACCAGGCTACCACACAGGCATAGACAAGCGGCACATGGTGCTACCCTGGGACACCATCGCGGCCAATCCCTGCCTGCAGGAGTTCGGCGCGCCCTCCCTCGCCATGCGCCAGGACATCCTCCGCACCGAAGGCGTCAAGCTCGCCGCTGCCGCCTGCGAGCGTGCCCTCGCCGAGTGGGGCGGGGACAGAGCAGGCGTAGGGGGGGTGGGGGGGGTGGGGGGAGCCGGTGGGGAAGGAGGTGGGGCAGCGGGGATAACGCACTTGGTGGTGGTGACGGTGAGCGGGGTGCACCTGCCGGGGCTGGACGTGCAGCTGGTGGAAGCCCTGGGGCTGCGCCGTTCCACTCAGCGCGTGCTGCTGCAGATGCTCGGGTGCTACGCGGGGGTGACAGCGCTGCGCATTGCCAAGGACCTCGCTGAGAATAATGCGGATGAGGGAGCAAGGGTGCTGCTCGTGTGCTCCGAGCTCAACAGTCTCATCTTCCAGGTACGGTTTCGTGACTTATGAGGCCCCTCAAGAGTCAGATGCTGGCGTGCTATGTGGGGGTGACAGCGCTGCGCATTGCCAAGGACCTCGCTGAGAATAATGCGGATGAGGGAGTGAGAGTGCTGCTCGTGTGCTCCGAACTCAACAGTCTCATATTCCAGGTGGGTTATGCTATGCTCTTTCAGGTGTGGCCTCGCATGGGGTTGTGTAGCGTTTACTCCTCAGTCAACTCAGGTCACCTCAGTCTACTCAGAGCAGCACCTCAAGTATCCTCGTTCAGTTGCTGCTCGTCTGGACTCTGGAATCCCTCTGTTGCCAAACCACCTCATCTCCTTTGTCCTGTTTCTCATTCCGCTCCGCTCCCTCGCCTGCCCTCCTCTCCACCAGGCACCGCATGAGTCTCTCCCTGACAGTCTGGTATGCGCGGCCATCTTTGGTGACGGGGCAGCTGCCATGGTCGTGGGGGCCAACCCCCGCACCCACGCTTCACACACTGCACACACTGCACACACCGCACCTGCTGCACCGGCTGCACCCTCCCTGCACGAAGCTACCACCTCTCCACAACAGCAGCAGCAGCAGCAAGGAACCCCACCACCCTCTCTCAGCCCACCTGCTGGGCTCTCCCCCGAGAAGCCCATCTTTGAGATTGTTCGCGTGGCAGAGTTTTTTCTGCCCGAGACAACGCGGCACATTGCGGGGGATCTGACCGAAGCGGGGCTGCTGGTGCACCTGCGGAGGGAGGTGCCGCTGCTGCTGCCCGGGCCGGTGAAAGATTTCAGTGCTGCCCTGCTAGGGCTGGCTGGTGTGGGATTTGCTGAGAGCTTCTGGGCGGTTCATCCGGGCGGGCGGGCGATTTTGGACGCGATTCAACGAAATTTGGGGTTGAAGAAGCATGCGCTGAAGGCGAGCAGGTGGGTGTGCTGTGCTTCCCGTGGTTTCCTTGACTGACGTTCGTTTCTTGAGGGAAAGAGGTGTCTCTTTTGTGCTTTTCATGTTGTTGTGCAGGGAGGTGCTTCGGCAGTACGGCAACATGTCAAGCGGGTCCGTGCTGTTTGTGCTGGATGAGATTCGAAGGAAGAAGAAGCGTGCCGAGCCTCAGTGGGGAGTGGCTTTAGGGTTTGGGCCCGGGGTCACAGTTGAAGGAGCATTGATGCGGTTGCTTTGAAAGGGCAAAAATAGGGTAATGATGGGGAGGGCAATCTGTACACACAGGATTATACCTGTTTTAGGTACCAGATCTTGGCTAGTATGCTTGTACATAATATGCAAGGGATATGTATATAAACATGATTGATGGATCTTTGAAAAGAAATGCCATGCTGTCTGTACCGCTCTAGCAGGCAAGCAATCTAGGAGTACGTACAGGTGGTGCAATTAGTGTTCAAAACGGGTCATGGGCGTTTGCTAATGGTTCACTATATTTCTGATACTTCACTGGCGCAGAATCGGGAAATCCTGCCGCATAAATTTAGGTAGAAAGCTCCAACGTTGCAGTCAGGACGCGACTGACGCAGGAATGGCCATGGCATCTCGTTCCGCGTGTGTTGCCGTTCGACATGGTTGCATAGAATCTTCCAGCTCTCGCTGGTTAGTTGAAAGCATTCAAGCTCATCCAATCAGGAGGGAAAAGCGCATCTCCTGCGTCGCTCGTCGTACCATAGCCGTTGCGGCTACTCCCTCTCCAGACAAAGGGATGGACACGTCAGCATTACCTACGCCGTCTCCAGCGGTCTCAGAGCCTGCCGGTTTGTTAAATAAATCCGTCAGCTTATCTACCAGCAGTCAAGCGGCTCCGTCAATCACTGCCACCCTTGCTTCCTTTTCCGACAACGTTAACGTCCCCGTTGACGTCTCTGTTGCTGCTGACGGAACATCCTTCACTGCTCCGTCAGGCGACGCTTCAGTCTCGCTTATGTCATCCTCAGCAGCCCCGTCGTTCGCGGAAGCACCGTCGCCGTACGAGCTGTCGAGCCTCGAGGCGGCTCTCGAACAGCACCCGGCCATTCTGGTGGTCGTCGCGTCCGCCCTCGTGTTAATCTACCTCGTCGCAGGAGGTGCGTTTATTCCGCCGGTTAAGTGTGCATCGCGTCCGTCTCGTGCGCTTTCATTTCGTTCATTAGCTTAACATTGAGCTCATTGCCCTATCTGTTGACTTGACTACAACGTTTCCACCATGTCTGCCCTTTGTGCAGAGTTGGGCCGTTCCCGAGGGTGGTAAGGTGACTAGCAAGCAGTGGGAGGCAGATCAGATCTGCCTTTGTTGAATGTAGATTGTACATTTGTATAGCTTTCTGAGGAATGTAGTGTAGTGTACTTCCTGTGGTCAGGTCTGGTCAGAGGAATGTGATGAGTTTGCCTGTCACAGTTTAATTTATCACGTGACATTGCCGAGCATTTTACCTTATTATTCGAGTTTGCCAATCACATTTATTGCCTAAATATAACCCAAACGAATTTAGCTGGTGATCCAGACTGCAGAGTCAAGCTCAGCAGCTCGCCTCCAATCATAACGGCTACACTCTGCTAGCCAGCCAGCCAGCCCCTTCCTCCCATCTTCCACCTCTTCCTCTTCCATCGTATCATAACACGCCTGAATGCCATGGTTTGTTCTCCTGCTCACCCACCCTCACGCCACCATGCCTCCAGTGAAGAGCAGCAGCGACTCTGCTGCCATTGCATCCTCGTCCTCAGCGCCCTCCTCCCTCCCCTTCGTCTCCTCTCCTTTCCCCCCTTCACCCACACCTGCTGCAGTCACATTCGCACCAACTCTCATCTCCTCATCACCCTCCCCTCCCAGCCTCAACTGCCAAAGATACCCAATTACCACCCCGTCACAATCCTCCACCCTCCTCCCCACAGCCATACCCACAACCTCCCCTTCCCCGTTCTCCCCCATTCGCCCCCCTTCCCGCCCCTGCCACCGCACCCGCAACCCCCCTTCAACCACAGCAGGGCAACCCCCCACCGCTCCCTCCACCGCCAAGCCCAGCGTGCTTCTATCAAGAGTGACAGTGGGGAGCGAGGCGGCACCGAGGGAGAGCAGCCAGGAGCAGCAGGGGAGCCCCACGAGGCGGTGAAATGCGCCATTCGCCCACAGCGCCTTCATATTCGAGTGCTCACTGCGTGATGATAGGCTTGCAAACACCGTGGGCACGGCTGATTGCTCCGTGCTCTCTCTCAGCTGCTCCGCTGATGCCGTCGCTGCTGCTGCAGACCCGATCAATCGGATTGCTCCGCTGACGGATGGTGATTGGCTGGTTTCGGTCGAGGCACGCAGGCCGTTGATCGTGATGTGCGATCCGACGAGTCGTGACGCTCGAGGCGCGATGACGCCGGGAGCGTGATTGGCGGCGAGCGAAGCAGGGCGCGCGGTAACAGACGCGGGGGTTGCGGCGGACACGAGCGCATGAGCGCCATCGGGTTCCGCTTCCGCCCCTGCATGCTCCCCCATCATGCCCCCATTCCCGCGCACATCGTCTCCTCCGCACTCTTGGCTCTCCGCCTCCTCCCCGTCGCCCTCCCCCCACTCCTCGTCGTCGTCGTCGTCGCCCGTCTCGTCGCTCCACCCCTGCGACTCTGTGCGAGTGACCACCGTCGTCGACGCGGACGACGACACCGAGGCTGACTGCTCCGGCGCAAGGTTCGGCCCGACCAGCGCATGAGGCTGGGCACGAGGAGGTTCGGAGAAGTCGCCCGAGCCAACCAGCACGTGCGCAGCGCCGCCAGCGGCCGGCACGGGAGGCGGCGGGGAACGCCCGAGAGTCAGCTGAGTGTCTGGCAACGATTCCTGCGCGCGATTGCTGGCGACTACCGCTTCTCCCGCCGCGTTCCACGCCGCGTCTGGCGCCGCAAGAGCCGCCTCCGCATACAACGGCCGCGGGGCTTGACACATGAAGCCCTGATTCCGCGCGATCGGCGGCGGCAGGGAAAGAGAGAGCAGCGGCTGCTGCGGCAAAATGCCCATCCTTTGGGGAAACCCCGCTTGCTGTGGGAGAACCATGAGCTGCGCCGCGCTGTTGTTTCCGCCGTTTCCGCGCCATTGCCCCTGTTGCCCCTGTTGCGCAACGCCCATCTGCGTCGCTGCTTCCCCTCCACCAGCCGCACCTGCAGCGCTGCGCTCCTGCGGAGCAAAGCCGAAACCCGCAGCCGCGGCAATGGCTGCCGCGGCGGCGGCGGCGGCGGGATTGGCGCTGGTAGAGCGGGCAGAGGCGGAGTGAAGGAGGAGGCGAGCGGCAGCAGTCGCGGGGGGAGCAGGCGCCGGGTGCAGCGTGTGAAGCGGTCGTTGCCCTGATGTCGTTACCACGCACGCCCCCGTTCCGTCCGTCCCGACCGCGCCCGCGCTCGCGCCTCCATTGTCCTTGACGGCGCCGGATGATTTGCCGTTGACCTGCCGTCTCCTGCCGGCCGCCGTTTGCTTGCTTGTGACGGACCGGTTGCGGCCCCACCGCCCCCCGCTGCCGCTGCTGCTGCCACGTGGCAGGGCGACGGACGACATCGCGTCCTTCGCGCCGCTCTCCTCGGCGTCGCAGCCGCCCCTGCTGCACGCGCTAGTGGCAGTGGGGGAGGTCAGATTCGACGGATCTGATAAGCTATCGAGACTCTCCTCGCACTCCACTAGGGGATCGAACGCCGCGCAGGCTGCTCGCGCGCCGGCATCTGTGTCGCGGATCGGCGCCGGGGCGGCGGTAGTGCAGATGCGCGGAAGGACGATTGGGCAGGTCAAGAGGGTGGGGGGAGCGGCAGAAGGGGGGAAGCAAGCGGACGCGGGCGCGGGAGCAGCTGGGGAAGCGGAAGGTAGGGTGAAGAGCTCGGTTTTGCGGGCACTGCATGGCGCAGCAGCGTTTGCGGCGATGGCGGAGGCGATAGCGGCAGGCGACGGCACGAGGAGACGCGGCTTGACTGGCCCGCTCGCGCGGGGACCGCTGCTGGCGCCGATATTGGCGGCGAGGCGTGACGGCAGCTGCATGAGAGGAACGGGGGGCGCGGACTGTCCCATTGCACCCTGCGTCGCGGGACTGCTGGGCGGCTTACTGGAGACTACGCGACGAGGAACGCCGTCCACGACAATATCGGGTGTGGCGTTAAGCAGCCGGCCGAGGGGCGTGCCCTGTAGCGCCTGCATCCCGCGCGCAAACGCAACCGGATCATAACGCGTACGCGGCGGGAGCACGGGGAGAGGAGTGGCGGGGTAGGAGATCGAGAGAGTGACGGTGGCAGGGGTGGGCGGGTGGGACGCAGCTTCGGGTTGCGGGGGAGGAGGCGCGGCCGCAAGGGAAGGTAGGCGGAGAGGCGCGGTGCTGAGCGCAGCTAGGGAAGCGGAAGCGGATGGCGTGGTAGGGATGGTGAGGGGCGGAATCGATGCGGCGAAGAGTTTCCGCGGGCGCATGGCGCCAGCGTCATTTGCGCTCGGATCGTCTACCGCCGGCCGCTTCTCCCCCGTCACCGGCATTGCTATCGCATCGGGGCTGTCTGACCGACACGCTGACTGCGCCGGCGGGGAAACTGACGGCTGCCGGCTGCTGCTGCTAGGGCTGAAGACAGCAAGAACAGCATCGACGCTGCGCGGAAGCACCATCTCCATCTGAGTATTGGTGCACGCTGCTAGTGTGTGGTTTCCTGCCGCGCTTTCGTCCGAACGGGCGGCTTCTTGGCTTTCGACCATCATTTCCGGCGCGTTACGCGGGGATAGGCGAACGAGGTGTGGAGCGGAGTTGAGGGCGGTGACCTGGGGCGCGGTGATCGCTGCCATACCGGAAACTGCGCAATTTTCGTCGACGGATAAAATAGATCGAAGCAGTGAAGGGAGAGGATTCAAGAACTCTCGTGTAAAGTGCGATGGAGTTATGCGATTGACCAAGCTAGCTACGGGCTACGGTGCGAGAGAGTACTAGATAATCGGATGACTGCGTTCCGTGAGATTGGAGTATCACTGAACAGAACCGACAATTATCCAAAGTGAATAAATATACCAGGCTGAGGTGGTGGGTGGTAAGCTATGGGTTCAAGAGAACACGACGGCGGAGGCTGACGGCTGCTGCTCTTTTGTGAAATGTGTGAGCGCACAACTTGCCGAGGTTGTGGAGGCGAGCGGGTAATAGGAGGAGGAGCCAAGAGGGATCTTTTGAGGAACGAGATTTGTGGTGCGCGGATTGGGAAAGTTGGGTT